GTTTTTTGGAAGATATTAGATTGCAATTTTTTGGATAGATTTTATAGGTTGCCTTGATCGTTTACTTGAATTCTGGATAGTGGATTACGATTTCTTTTGTCAGGCCTCTGCTGGAAGTTTGTTGAAAAAAATTTTATTGTCTTTCTCTTATTGAAGTTGTGGATGGTCAAGCGGCCGATGAACAACTTATTCCAGCTCAACCTCTTCCAAGCGATGAATTTCCAGCGACAAGTACAGTCACGCAAGACGATGCGTGCATCAGAGCCTCGAGCAATCTGGATTCAAGTCAAGAAAGAGCAGCTGATGAAGACGTCGTGCCAGCTTCTCCAAGAGTCGTTGTGCAGAAAATGCGTCTGCGGAATTCGCAGGTTATTGGCAACATGGAAACGTCGGTTTCTCGTGTGCCTGAGACTGCGGAATCGGAGCCCTTGAATGCAGTCAATGCTGGAAGCGAATCTGGAAGAGAAATTGAGGTTGTTATCCCGATTTCCGTGATGGATTCTGGTCAACCTTTGGGTGAGTTTTCGTTGCACCAAGCTGTCGAAAAAAAATTGATTCCTTTTTCTATTAACATTTTCGAAATTCGAGTGACCAGGAAAAAAAGAAATCGAGTTGGGGAAAGAAGCATTTGAGGGGGGGGGGGAGGATTGAAGGAATTTTAATTGATGATATTCTAGGCATTGAAATGCTTATCAAATGAGTTGACAGGATGCTGGACTTGGAGGCATGGGTTCATTTGCCCAGTTATTCCTTCACTTTGTTTAAAAATGCATAAAGTTACATTTTTTTGTCGATAAAATAATAGCCAAAATGCCTCCAGAAAAATGTTTTATGGAAGTTTTAGACTCTTTAGAGGAAATATCTGTACAAATCATTTTCAAGGCATTGTTTTGAATGGGAATTTGGAGAGGAACTTGAACAAATAAGTTTGAATGGAGGTACTGTATTTGAGTTGTCAAGGTTCAATGTCGCTCTATTTGATCATGATTCATTTGTTTTTTTTTAATTTTGTGGTGATATTGTTATATGAGTACTGCATGAACAGCACTTCTCAGTTCTCTCAATCTTTCAACGTTTTGTCATGCTAATAAGTTGCGCTTAATGAACAAGTCCACTCAACATTCCGTTGCCACCCGGAAAATACCTTTCTAAATATTTCCGTTTCTTTTGTTGTGTGTTGCAACAAAGTATGTTGGCAGCAATTTGGATCATTTGCTGTGTGCATTCCATGACCTTGTTTGTCGAAACTTATGAATCTACCATGAAAGCTTTTCTGCACTGCTTTGCTCCTCAATTGTAGAAATATTGTTTAAAAAGGGAAATAGTTTTAAAATCTTCTCAAAGTATTTTTTGTACTTCTTCAAAAGGACACAGAAAGCAATTTCAACCTTCAAAAAATCTACTTGACTAAGGTTTTACAGACCAAAATGTGTTAATAAAGCCGAATTGGCTTATTGGTGATTGAAGTTTCAAGATCTATTCTTGTTCTCACCGATTTGAGACTGCAATTTTCTTGTGTTGGAGGGACAGATCAAAGCACTGACGTGATGAAATAAATTGTCAATGTGTTCCGTCCTGCAAATTATGTTTGATTATCTCCAAAAGAAGATACAGTATATTAAACGATTTTTCGTGTTTAGAGCCTCTTCCGGATACTGACCATCAAGTCGATACTCAGCATTCGACGTACGAAACTGCGGCAGAAAATACCCAAGTTTCTGTTGCTGATGATGACGGTGGCGTGGATAAAAACGAACCTGTTGTTGTGGGTTGTGATGAAATGGAAATCGTTTCGGGGGTACGAGAGG